CTTTTGAATAATAAGACGATTCAATTAATAGACATTTTTATAATACATAAAATTCTTCACAAGTCTTTTATTCGTATGTAATTCTTTCAACTTAATTAATAATTTTAATTTGAACTCAAATCTTAAATATATAATTATGTTAAACTTTATTTTCATATATAGTGACTACTAAACTCGAACAAAATATAAATTATGTGTGAATCTTCTATATATTAGTTAAAAATAATTTTGTTTTATAGATAATGATTGAATTATTTTGGATATTTAACAATGTTGTGTATTTAATATTTAAATTTAAAATTATTAATTAAGTTGAAAGAATTTTCCGATGCATTTCATAATTTTAATATTTATAAAAGGTGTGGTTTTAGTTTGACGTTTTCATAATGTTTAATTTGTGTGACCACATAGGTGCATACGTAGGAAAGATTTGGTCTCTGTTTTACCAAACTCCATTCTTGACACCTTCAAACCCTGCAATTGAATTGCAATGCGAAGTTGCAAACTATAGTTTTAATTTTTCATTCGTAATAATAAGCCATCCATTTTGTTTTCATTTTCTTTTTCAAGACCAAAGGCTTTGACCTCCTTGCGTTGCGTGTGGCGTAATACCCATTTTATTCTCATTCTTTATGACATGTATAATATTCGACTTCTCCACACCAATGCTATATTTGAATATTAGGGTTAGGGTTTAGCTAAATTTGAATATTGAGATTTCAGAATTTGAATCCTGTGGATAATGAATGAAGGCTGCTGATCGGGCTGTTGTGTTTATTTTGGACCAATTCTTCATAGATTTGTTTTTTAAGATTATGTTTTTAATCTTTCTATTTTTTTTTTCAATATACAATTCTAATCTTTTTTATTTAAAGTAAAAATATATAAAATTTGATCGTAATGTTAATTTGATATTTGTTAATTATTAAATTTGACTTTATTTTATGACATGTCATCATTTAGGTGATATAATATTTAAAGATAAAAATTAAAAATAACATTAAAAAAGTGACTTGTGATGTGCCGTTTGAAGATAAAAATTTAAAAATAATATTAAAAAAATATTTGATTGTATATATTTTAATAAGGGATTGATATTTATTTTAGACTTAAAAATGTTTTTGATCTTTACAAAATTATCTAGTTTTGATTTTAGTCTTGTAAAAAATATTTTATTTTCCATCCTTTTAAAATTAAAAATATTATTTTTAGTCCCTATATTGTTTGTGATTATTTTTAATTATTTTTTATTTATTAAAAGGTTAAGTGAATATCTTAGATATGATTCACGAGTGATAGTGATATTATATCAATGTTTAACACTTATGAACTCATATAGATACTTAAAATAATTATTATTCATATATCTTTAGATAATTGTTAGGACAAAAAATTAGCGACTTTAAATTTTTTAGAGATAAAATTAAAGAAAAATATTTTATGGGATCAAATCAAAATTTATTTATTCTACAAAGACAAATAAATAATATTTATAAATTTTAAAAAAATAAAAAACAAGAAAAAAAAATTAAAGATCAAAATCAAAACTCACTAATTTTGAAGTGATTAAAAACCTATGTGAATTTTTATTTTATTAATAAATCTTATTTACATGATTTTCTTAATTTTTAATTTTTAAATATCATATTACTAAATATCATATAACTTAAACATGAATAAATATTAAAGTTTAATAATTAAAAAATGTCAATTTAATGAGAATATCAAAATTTTCTATTTGTAAAATTAGAGGAACTAATGTTTTAGAATACTTATACAATGAAAAGTATGTAGAGAAGTTAGAAATGGTGGTGCTACTTAAAGGATTCAGCAAATTTCACGACATTTTCACTGCTCCAACGGAAATCATATATATATATGTTAGATTTTCTCAATGTTTTATGATTTTTATTTCTCTTTTCTTCCAACTTTTAATCTTCCATTATACTACTTTCCAATCATTTATCTTTCTCTTATTAATTGCAACAAAATTCAACTTTACTTTATAGGAATTTCTCAATTTCATTAAATCATAAACATATTGGCTAGACCAACTTGAACCGTGTAGTGCGTGTGGGAAAAGAATTTCGTACATATATAAGAAAACATTTCTGTTCAAGAAAAATGTGATCACAATTTGATATAGTATACTCGTGTTTTAGATAGAAAAATTCGAAATAATTATTTTTAAAAAATCCATTTTAATAAAAATAATCATTTATAAAATAAGATCTTCGGAAATCAAGTTTGTGAATGTTTATTCAAACACACACTTATAAACATTTGACTGTCACGTGGAGGTGTATGCAGTTGAGGAGACATGCTACATAGCCAATTATTTCCCATGCTTTGTAAAATATTATCAATTATTTCGTATTTACTTTGGACCTCAAGAAAAATTAGGGTACGAATTTAAATTTTAAATCGAACAAAGCTAAACTATAATATGCCCCACATTATACCTAACACACACAAAACACTTTTACTTAATTTTTTGGGATTTTAATATAAAATTTCCTATACAAGGGGAGCATTAATTATTACATATAATGATATATCTATAGATGAATTATTGTGTTGATCAAGATGAATAGAAACTAAAATTTAAAGCAAGTGGTTTGTTTGACTACGATACTAAATTGAATTGTCTCATCTTTATTATTCAATGAGTCATGAGGAATTCGAAGCAAGCATTGGTTGCCCTAGTTAGGTATATAGGAATATGAATATGAAGTCAAATAAATACAATCACAGCTCCTGCTGGCGATCATGAAACAACCCCATTTTTTGAAATAAGTTTGTAAATAAATAAATAAATCATTAACCAGCTTCATGGATGACACTAAGATTGTATACTAAAAAACAAAAGAGATATACCAAAGGAACAGGCTCGCCAATCATTCATCCTTTATATAATTACTTATTTCTATGCCCTAAATTTTTGTTCCTATTTATTAAATATGATAGTTTTGTGTGTACTTATTTTCCTGCGATTCAGTGCCAACAATTACACCCATAGGTTAACTTCTTCGATTTGAAATCACTTCTGCAATTTGATTCTAATAGTGTGTTTGGAACCCATTCAGAAGGGAGGAGGAATAAGGAATTACATATGGGATGTGGAAACTATAATCATTAATTTCTGAAAATCACATCTACAATCGCATCCAAAACATAAAACCAAATACGTTATTAGCTACCGGAGCATGGATAAGTGACAACTTTTGTGTTGCCTATGCAATTTGACAGTTTCTTGATTTATTATCAACATTTTTTTATTCATAAAAATCAAACTTGATACATGGGAGATTTATAATACTTGCATACTTTTCTTAACTAACTTGACCTGCATTCTTGATGACAGCATTTTGCATATATGAATATATATATATAGAGAGGAGAGTTATAGTAATATCGGTGTAATTTTTACTAAGTATTACACTATTCAATAACTTTATATTAAATGAAAATTTTGTAAATCTAACCATTAAATTGAAATTTCATATCATTTTATATGTTTATATTAAATTTTGTTAAAATTGAACAACAACATGAAGATAATCAAAGTGTTCATATTTTAATATTTTAAAATGTATATATTACGTCAATTTTGTTTTATAAAAAAATATAAAATCATTTTGGATTAATATAAAATTTTGTATATATGATCTAAGAGTAGAGAAGTTTCAATCTAGCGATTGAATTTACAAAATTCACATTTAATATAAAGTTATTGAGCGGTGTAATACTTAGTAAAAGTTACATCGGTATTATTATAACCTTCTTTATATATATGTGTGAGAGATTTTATTTACTTTTCAACCAAATTAAATAAGTCTAAAAGGAAGTTTTAAGACATTAGTATGAAATAAAAAAAATATACAAAATTAATAAAAGTAGTTAAGATAGTTAATTTTTATTAATAATGTCATAAAATTAAATTTTATTCCAAAAACATCATTCAATTGAATGTTAACTAGTAATAACATGATAGTATATCTAATTTAAGATATAACCTTTTCCATCAATAAATATAACCATATTATTAATAGTTTAATAAATGCATCCACTTGCATGAAAGTATAAAAGAAAATTAATAATCTTAAAATAGATATTTATCTCTTATATTTAAGACCAAAAAGTGTACTTATTTATTTCTTATATAAATGGCTAGAGAGAGTATTACATTAATTTGATATTTTTTATTTAAATATAAATAACAAATGCACATTGTTATATTTTATTAAGATTTAAATTTAAATATTATATTATATTTAATGTAGAATTTTTCTTATTTATCATAATTACAATAATAGTTTTATGTAAGAATCTTGCATATTATTCTAAGTCTCTTATCTTGAGGTCGAACCTAATGGTTCATTTAGTTTAGATTTTTACATATATATTAAATGTTAAAAATATGTAAATAATATTTTATTTTAATTTCTAGTATTATAAGATTATGATATTATAATTTTTTTATTTATTATACTAATAACCATTATTTTATTAATATTAGTTTAACCACATTTGATAGTTAAATTATTCAAATTTGAACCACTGTCCTATCCAATTTAATGATCAATCTAATTTTAAAAATATTAAAATTTTTATTTCTATTTCCTTTTCAATATATTTGATTATAACGCAACAGATTTAATATTATTTATTTTATAAATTAATTTATTCATAAAAGCATTTTATGAAGTTGGAAAAGGTTAAATCAGACATATTTTCAGTATTTTTATTTTCTGACAACAGAAAACAAAAAAATAAAACCAAATACTGAAATAAAAATTAATTTTAGAAAATGAAAAATAGGGTGAAAGTATATTTTAAACTTGTTAAATCAAGTTTTAAGAAGTTCCAAAATTAAAAATTTTAAATATCTACATTTTTATATTTAATTTATACTTTATAGTTTTTATTAAAAAAATCTTAAATATTAGCTTAATATTTCTCCTGTAATTACGGTCATGGACATGGTGATAAATGGCTCGTTTTCATAAATAATACCTCTTTTTTTCAAATTAAGCTGAACAATGTTGTCAATATAAACTGTACATAGAAGAAAACACCTCTGAATTTACAACCTCTCAATAAAATTAGCTTATTTATGAAGGGGCAAAAATAATTGTGAACCTGTTCAGGAAGATCCTAAAGAACAAAATAAAACAACATACTCCACACAAGCCTTTCCTTCAATAAATTAAATGAAGTGCTCCTACAAATCCTTTCAAAGGTTGGGAATTCATTCTTGTCTGACGAATGGAGAAGAACTCATTTCTGTACTGTAAAATGACTCTTCTGGATTGATTTCATATACATCATCATCCTTCTCATCATCCCATTTGATGATCTCCCTAATGTATTTGAATGCCTCATCAACTGACCCGCGATCGCGACCTCGAGTCTGCCCCACAAACAACTTCTGGCCAGTTAGGGTATAATAAAGCTCCTTGAATCTCACAGCCACATAGTAATATGCTTGGTGTGCTAGGGCATGATTGTTGTGATGGGGTCTCACGGGACAAAAGTCCCCAAACCACTCACAACTTGACAAAGGAACTTTGTTTATCTTGTCTTCAAAGACATCATATTTATTTAGGAGAAGCACAAATGGGGTATCTTTAAAACAAGGGTGCTTCACCAGACTCTCGAAAAGATCTTTGCTTGCCAGCAGTTTGTTGCGAACCTCACCGCTACTAGTAGGCCACATCTGGTCGTAGTCACTCAGGGCAACACAAAATATGATTACTCTCACATCTTCAAACATTTCCAACCATTTGCATCCGTCACGCAGTCCCTTCGAATTTATGCGAATCAGCTGATACCTGAGTCAATGACAATGTTAACAAGTTAACAACAGTTTCACAAGCTTCCACAGAAGGAGATGCAATAGAATGATTTACTTGGTTAAAGGAGGAGGGCAATTTATGTTTTCGCTGTATATCTCAGACATGGGACTCCTATCATCAAACGAGAATTCCATGAAGGCAAGACCATTGCTCTGAGTGACTCCTTCGGCGTATAATATATCCTTATCAGAAGGTTCATACTCATTGCTTGATATTTCTATTGCCTGTGCAGAATCACAAATGATTAGACATCTTGATAACTGAGCACATAATGGAAGTCAATATACTTTAAGCTTGGTTTATAATTATTAGCCAGTGAAATATTGCAAATCAAATTAGAAGGTACTACATACAGGATTAGACATATCATAGTATTTCTATTGCCTGTGATTGTGCAGGATCACATGATATCTTGATAACAGAGCACATTATGGAAGTCAATATATTTTGAGATTGTTTTTTTTAAATTAGCAAGAGACAAATCAAAAAGTACAAAAGCAAGACAAATCAAATTAGAAATTAGTATACTCCGATTCTACTCTACCTAGGTAATATTACAAGGAGTTATACCACATAAGATCATGATTTTAAATTTTACACGGAACTTATGGAAGTCAATATAGTTTCCGTACTTTCTTCCAAAGTAGTTTAATGTTCCATAGATATCTATTATATATTTGTCTACATAATTATATAGGATGATGAGGGTCAATTGACGATGATGAAAGAACAACAACATCAATACTTGTAGAAAGTATGATCAATTTACTGATTAAATTACAAATAAAATCACTTTAGTCTCAACTCTCAAATGGAAAACTTGAGAAAATTTATAACATAACTACTTGTTCAGATGGTTAATAGTTTTAATGTTTGAGAAGTATAACGTACATTAACATTTCTGATGGAGTACTAGCAATCTTTGAAATGAAATGGGACATTGAGAAATTCATCCTCAAAACAGTGATTTCTATCTGTTAAATTGATTTAGATTCACACTGGTGTAAATGAATTCTGAATAACTTATATATAATTTTCATAGTAAATAAATGAATGATAATATATCTATCAATGCTGCCAGTGAGCATAAACTCAACTGGCAGCAAGGTGTTCCAGTGACCTTTTGTTCTTCGAATTGAATCTATTTCAACCAACCACGTCAATTTAAAAATCTATGCTAATAGGGCAATGGCCATGCAGATGGTACTTTTCTTATAAACATAATTTGTCAGAATATTTTGCAAATATAGTATTGATGTACCCTAAATGAGCTTTAAACCCTAGGCTAGAGCTTCATGAAAATAAAATGAAACGCCCCTTTTTTTGTCACCTCTAGTAGATTGTTTTCTTTGTGTAAGTTCATCATATTAGCTATTACTAGAGTAACAAAATTAAGATTGCATAAGGTGAAATAATAGTTTGGGATAGCGGTGACAGTGATGCCAGTCACTTTTTTAGAATCAATTCCAGAATGGAAAGGAAAAATCATGTTTTTAAATGACAAATATTAAGTTGTAATGTAATAATGATTAACAGCTCAAGTTTATAAAAGACAACACTAACCAAGAAGACCAAATAGTAAAAATAAATAGTAGAGTTATACCCGATCCAAGAAATATTTAGCAACATCAGGAAGATTATGCAATTCCCCTCTTCTCTTGTATGTTTCCTGAACAGCAGGATCTCGCCAGATTTCATCTACCATAGGAGCATACTCACGTGTTGCAGCAGGGAAGAAGGCCTCCAAATCTCCAGTGGCCATAATATCCAATAACCAGTCAGAAAAGTGCTTGAATCTTTGATTGATTGAGTAAATGCTTGTTTTGTTATCATCAGCCGCTGCTTCTGCTAAATTTATTGCACAATTAGATTCACTCAAAAAACTACAGCTTTTCCAAAGACATTGCAAAAAAGATCATTATCAAATTGTGTCATCCACAAAATCCTCAAGGGGAAAAGATTATGTGGTATCGAGCATTGCTAACTTGAAAATTGCTGCTTAAAAGGACAACTGATCCATTATACCAGTTAAAACATAGTTGTAGCAAATACTGGACAAAGAAAAAGAACTCCTACCAAGACAGCAAGTAACAATTGACAACTTGGATTTTGATAGAGCCCAATGGTGTCAATTGATCCATGTCAACCCATCAGGTGAGATGAGCCATGGTGGTAGTTGCTATTATTAGTTTAGAATAGATTGTCTTTATAATACTACCTTTGTTCCTATATATAAGACTTAATTATCTAATTCACCAAGATTAAGAAAAGTAGTAATTTAATTGATAACAATCAATTTGTCCTATTTATATATTTTTTTTCTAAAACTATCCTTATAGTAATTTTCTTTCCAAATTAATACTTATCTTCTAACCAATTAGAGTACATACCTTATACTATTTCTCTCTCCTAATTAATACTAATCTTTTTCTTAACCTATTAGAGTGCATGCTTTCTCTAAAGAGTTTATAATTAATGCATTTTACCAAATGAAGAGAACACACTTTAATTACGAGTATTTTGGTCTAAAAATAATTAATGTATGAGACATATAAGTTGGATCTTATATAAAAGAACAAACAATTATTTTAAGTTGGTTTTATATAAATAGGAACACACTTTTATAAATATGGAAGAGGTGAATATATTATTCCATACCAAATTTTTGCACCAATACCAATAACAATTGATAAAATGGATATTGGAGAGTTCAAGAGGTGAGAGAGAAATAATTTATTTCTTAAATTCTCTTCTTACTGTTCAATGACAAGAAACACATATACTCACAATATTTAATAGGGACAAAAAATAAAAAATAAAATTAATGCTTTATAGAAATTGTAAAATATCAATTTCTCCTAAATTGTGCCTTACAAGAAGGACTGGAGAGAGTAACAAATAATAAATTTTTATCACATTGGACCTAAATTGCAGACAACATTTAGTATATCACTACACAATGAAAGAAATTTTTTATCCAAAGATGATCTTTATGGGCCAAATAAGGGCCACATAAAGCAACTATTTTGTTACCTACTCTCCAAAGGATCTGCTAGATCTTCACATGTATCTCTCTCTCTCTCTCTATATATATATATATATAATAAATATAGAATAAATGTTAAAAGCTTCAGAACCTTTTCATTTCTCTCATGACTCCTTATAGAAAAATCAATATTTAGTCACTTGAGAATAATAACAAATGCCACAAAAAATATCAGAAAGCTGGAAACACTTCCACTTAAAGAGAAACAGTCCCATCATAGAGTGAAAGAGGGAAGAAAGGGAAGGAAAGTAAAATTATACCTTGTCCAGATCCTTCACCTTCTAATGAAGTGGATTCTCCCTCTGCCAGAGCTTCCTCTTCAAACTGCTCTCGTCCTTCAAGCAGAATGCTAAGATACTTGTACATATTGCTTTGAATCATAAGCTTGATGTTTTGTAATTCTTCTGCAGAAAACTTGTTTCCATATAAAAACTTAGCCTGTTACAAGGATAAGGAATTAGAATATTCTTAAAATGAAAGCATAGAAAATTATAAATGATAAAATAAAAACAATAAAACAATCAGTACCACAGCATTACACCAGGTAAATATATAAAATAACACTGGCAATATGTCAAAAAGAAAATGTGTCATAACCATGTAAACCAAAAATAAACAGTCTTCAAATAATATACCCCCGCCACATCCACATGGAAAGGCATCCATAATAGGCATACGAGAAAGCACTACAATAAAAACAAACATAAGGTAGGGTTTCCATTATCAATAAGTTGAGAGCACATACACATTTGACTGCATCTAACTTCTTGTTTACATGAACATCTAACTTCCAAGTATGTATGCACTGTGCAAACCTACATAAATGAGTATGCATTGACACATTTTATGAATGCAGCAATCAAGCAACATTCATTCATAGAATTATTAGTATATGCATGCATGCATGTATCATCCATATACATAGTTATACAACATATCTTTGAATGTGTGGATGAGCATGAGCACATGTATATATCTAAAATCCTAAGAAAATATTCTACTGTATAACTATATAACTAGCAGTCCACCAGCATCCATTGCACTACAAACCGATCACATATACTATGAATCTTCACTAAAGTCCTTCGTCAGGCAAAAAGGGAAAGCAAAAGATATTGATCCCAAACCATGAGACAGGGTGAGAGAGATAGATGAAGTGAAAGAGAGAGGAACAAAACATGCCTGTTTGAAGAGAGTGGCTGTTCCAGAACCTTCCATGCCAAACAACAAAAGTTTCTGAACTCTACCATGGTCCAAATAGTCAGGCACAGATCTTGTTGAATAGTTAGTTGAATTATCTTTGACCCCAGGAAGATTAGTAGGAGGTACAGGCAATGAGAATAATGAACAAATGAAACGAGTGGACGCCTGCCTACCATGAACCAAACTAATATTGTATAAAAAACCAAATCAAGGACATACACTTTCAAGCTCAAATTGAAAAGAAGATATATGTTATTATCAGATAAGAGAGAACCTTTCCCCATATGTTTCCCTTGATATTATTTTGCCCTTCTTCCTCATAAGATCCATCATCATAAACCCAGAAATGGGTATCTCGTGGGCATTGAACATTTGCTAGCTGAAATGACAGCCAAAGAAGTCTCAAATATATCAATGACAAAGGCAAAAAATTAGAGATAAAGAAATAAAACATAATTTGCAGCTTTCCAACGCTGTTAGCTATCAAGACCAAAAGTCAAACATAAGAGCTTAATGGTATAACATTGATTAGATCAATATCATATCTACGGGAATGAGAAAGACAAGATTCGTGATTTCTTTCATTTGAGATGGTCTAAATGCATTTAAAACGTAAAAGAAAGGAGGGAGCAGAACCATCCATTGAAAGATTCTTGCAGTCCACCTTTCTAGACAAAGCTTCACAAACATTGTTCTTTAAAAGAAATATAAGATGTGCAGAATAAGAAACAGAATCAAATAAATGATAGGGAGCAGGAAGAAAAGAGAACTTGGTGTAAGCAGACATTTTAGATACAAATTCTATGTATACCATAACAAATTAGCCAAAAATTTGAAGGACCATCATAAAAACCATGAATGAATTCCTTATACACCAAATCTAAGGGATTCAAAAGTCTTGTTAAACTTGACTGTTAATTGAATGATTGTCAACAAGCAGAAGTTATGGTTGCATTAAAAACTGATGCACATGATTATAGACTTATAGTCCCATTAGTTATCAGGTAGCTTGAATGTTTGAAATATATATTTCTTGATTTAAAAGGAACTTCTAAAAAGGAATTTAATGCATGTCCAGGGCAATACATACTCAACAGTTTAGCCTACAAATATAGTAGTTTATGTAATGCCTTTTCTTAATTTGGTAAGCACTTGATAATAACAAGCAAAATCCAAACATTTAAATACTTAGAAACATAAATGACCATAAGTTGCCTGATAATAACACAGGTCTTCATTCGTTTGTGTTTTTCCTTAGATAACCAATTGTCTATGAAGTTGCAACACACTACAATGAATATTCAATCAGGAGCACTCCCACACAGTACCTCAAACACAACCTTTTTTGTAGCCCAAGCAGGGAAAATTTTATGCTCAGCTAAAGAAGTTGGTATCTAGCCCTCCAATGCATTCAGGTCTTATTTGGATAAATTATTTAATAAGCACTTAAAAGAGAAGAAAATAAGAAGGTAAAAAAAAACTAAACTTCTCATATAAGCTAAACTTAGCTTAAGCATAAGTTAATTTATAAAACCCTCTCATTTATTTTCTTCAAAAGTTTATTTTAACTTATGCATAAGGTAATTTAAACTTACATAAGAAACTTGATTCATTTTACTTTGTTATTTTCTTCTCTTGCAAATATTTATTGATAAGTTTTTCCAAAGTGGGCGATACTAACTTCCATGTTGTACTATTTCATTCAGAACTGGACCCAACCCAGATGAAAGATTATTGATTACCTTTAACATTCTAAGCTCAATCTTTGTTATTTCACGACCATTCATGTAGACTCTAGTATTCCCATTGCTTGCATCTGTCTGAAGCTTCCCTCCAATATTTAGCTTTGAACTTATTATCTTTTCGGGCTTCTCTCCCTCCTGAAACCAGTCCACCACACCCAAATTGAGCAAAACAATAAAGCAATCCAAAAACAGTAGTTTCTATATTTAGCCGTAAACAAACACTAATACAAAACACTACATCTTGAAACATTAAACTTGCTATATCTTTTCCATTTTCACCTTGCCCCAGAGTCCGGAGTCCTTATCATACCAATACCTCCCGGGCTTCAACTTCTGAGGAGGGATTGGACAGCCCAGAATCTCAGCCAACTCCTCTTGCCTCAACTGCCTGCCATTCACAACAAGCTGCTCCGGCCGTAGCTGATCAGAGCAAAACAATAAAGCAATCCAAAAACAGTAGTTTCTATATTTAGCCGTAAACAAACACTAATACAAAACACTACATCTTGAAACATTAAACTTGCTATATCTTTTCCATTTTCACCTTGCCCCAGAGTCCGGAGTCCTTATCATACCAATACCTCCCGGGCTTCAACTTCTGAGGAGGGATTGGACAGCCCAGAATCTCAGCCAACTCCTCTTGCCTCAACTGCCTGCCATTCACAACAAGCTGCTCCGGCCGTAGCTGATTAGCAGGACACTCTTTCTCAGCCTTCATTATCTGATTAATCTCCAAAGAACTACACACTTTCGACAACATTCTAGAACACTTCCCCAAGCTCGACCTCTTCGATTCATCTATTGCCTGCCCAATGCAACTGACGCATTTTCTTCCCTCAGGCATAGAACCCATAGCTTTTAACACACAGTTACTGCAATACCTCGCATCACACACCAAACATGCTTCCTTCTCCTTCAACCTGTTCCCATTCCCACACCTGCTGCAAATCCACCGCTTCTTGTTCCGCGCAGCGCCAGACGCCGAGGCCGGCACCGGCGATCCCACCGGTTCTGTAGCCACCGACCGCGGCGACTGGTAACCGTCCTCGTCGTCGTCCTCCGAGTCCCTCGGAGTATTGAACGTCACCGTCATCGGGCGCTTTTCCGCCCCGGCGCCGCTGCGCGGCACCGGAGCCGAATTCGGGGGCGTCCGAGGCGTCTGCGACGCCTCGGACGCGGAGCTCGCGGCGTCTTCGGCGTTCGCCTCGCCGGAAAAATCGGTACGATAAACCTCGCCGCTGCGCGAATCGAACTGAGACCTGGAGACCGACGACGAGCGGCGGCTCTCGGCCGGACTCCGCGGCGGCGCGCGGTCGAATCCGCCGTTGCGGACGCGACCGAAGCGCGAGAAGCGCGGATGCACCGGCATGGCGACCGGAATCGAGGCCTCGGCGGCGTGGTCGGAGACGACGGAGGCAGTGCGAATCGGAGCGGCGGCGGCGGCGCTGATTTCGAGCGGATCGACCTTGGGAACGTCGTAGGGAACCGGCGGACCTTCGTACTCGACGGCGATGGAGTAGTCGAGGTGTTCCTCGTCCGGCAGCGGCGCTCCGGCGGGGAGCATGCGGCGGAGGATATGCTCCCAGGATTTGTCCTCTTCTGCGGATTCCGACGCCATTTTAGGGTTTGCGGAGGGCGAGAAAAGTGTGAGAGTTCAAAGGAATCAACGAAAAGGTTTCATTTCATGGTTTGTTTTGATCAGTGAGAGAGAGAGAAAGAAATAAAAGTGGAAGAGTCTCTGATTGTTGAGTTGTCAGCTGCAGCAGTTGGCAGAAAGTAAACGGAGCCATTTAACGGCAGACTCTGTCTCGCTTTAGTCACGGTGCGTCATTCCGTTATGTTTTACGTCATCGTTATTACATATATGCATTTTCTCTATATATTTATGACATTGGCTTAGTTCCATACTTACTCGGTTTATTTCTTTCTTCCTTTTAATTCGGACAAAATGAAAATAAGATATTAAAATTTTTGAAATTTAGAAGAAAATAAAATAAGATTATTTTTTACTTTTTTTAAAAAATGTCAAGCCTATTAACTTTTCTTATTCTTTTTTTAAATACAACTCAGTTTATAACTAAAAATGTGACATGATTTCTAAATAATATTATCTTTTATAGAAATTTGGTTAAGGGAGAATTAAAGAGAGGCAAGTAAAATTATTTCTCATTTAAGTTTAGCTTCCCTCTTATATAAATGAATTTCAAGAAGAAAGATTTTAAAATATTTTTTAATACAATATCAAAAATATTATTAATTATGTTTTTAAATTTAAAATTATAAGAATAAACATCCTTTATTTTCAATCGATCAAATTTTTTAATTATTTTTTTTATAAAACTTATGGATAATTTCTTATATGCATTTATTATTTTATTCAATCAAAATTATAATTTTACTTCAATATTATATATAAATATATATTAATGAAACTTACATTAAATGCAAATACATAATGTACATAATATTGAGGTCAAACTTCAATTATAATTTGAGAACAATATTAATTACACTTAAAAAATTATATTTTATCCATATTTATTTTACCTTCCTTTTTTTTCTTCCCTCCATTAATATCTTTTTCCTCATCTTTCCTAGTTTGAACCAAATAATCTCTTAAGTGATAAAAATTTGATCTATAATCCATCTATAAAAAAATATTTATTAGAATTTGTCAACTCCTTAAAAAGATTATATCTAAAAAGATTTAGTCACTTGCTTTTGACAAACGAATAATAACGAGATTGGTAGGTTTTTTTTCTTTTGTAAAAAAATGTTGTTATTTTAGTGTTTTTTAACAATTGATATTTTTCAAATTTCGTATCTCATTAATTAATTTTTCACCTGTATCTCTGGTTAATAATCATATTTTAGTCCATGATTACTCCTCTAAAAACATTAAATGAGGATAGTTTAGATTGAATATACTAGTTATATATAATTAATATAAAAAATTACATTAACAATTAAGTAGTAAGAGAAAATTTTTAGAAATATATTCTTTAACACATTTTTTTAAATACACACTATTTTATAAGTTGAAATTTTATGAAAATGACAAAATTTTGTAGGTTTGGTATCTTGTTTAATAATTTATTTATTGATTATGTAACAAAAAAAAAATAAAGAGTATTTTTAAAAGAATATTTCTATAACACTCTTCTTAATTAGAAATCATCTTTTTAAGTATAAGTTTTTTTTTACAACTCCTTTAAGTATAATTATTTTCTTTTACACAAACTCCTTAAGTATAACTTTTAAAATAGTAGTTATTGTTAAAATTAATGAATTTACCTTTTTTTTCAATGAATTTACCTTATATGAAATACATCATTTATGCATACATATTATTTGATTATTATAATTTGATTTTGTGGGAAATGGTTTAATGCATGTTCTCATAGTAAAAAAAATTAGAGACTTGTGTAACTTAACAAAGTTTTTATGAATTGAATCTTGTTACTTGCAAATGCAGGAAACTCAATTTTGAAAAAGATTTCCATCTAGATTCATCATGATAAGGTTTGTAGGAATTTAATTTGGGGAGATACTAAACAACTACGAAAGATTCATCATGTGGCTTGGGACATGATTTGTTCCCCCTAAATGTGTTGGAGGTTTAGGCCTAAGGAAAACAAAAGACATGAATTTGGCATTCATGATGAGGGTGAATTGGAGACTTTGCTCTGATGAGACTCCTCATGACTTGCTCTAGTCGTGAGTGATTAGAGAGAAGTGTAAATGTGGAAATGAAGATGATATTAGAGGGTTGTCAAGGTTGAGAAAATCTAGAATGTGGAGTAATTTTTGGAGGGGTTTATGTGCTACGTGGGATCCTTTTCAACAGAATGCCATTTGGCAAATTGGTGATCAAAAGTCTATTAATTGGAGGAAAGATAGATGGGTTCCAAGAGTTGGAAGGTTGGTGGATTGTGCCTCAATTGATATTTTCTGAAAAAGGATATGAATAAAACAGTGACTGACTTTTGCTTATCGAGTGAAACTTGGAATCTAGAGGAGGTCAAGAATTTTCCACCATCTCACGTGAAGAACATCATACTCTCCTTATATCCTCCTCATTGTGATGCTGGACCAAATGTGTTGGCTTGGAGTTTGACCAATGATGGATAGTTTTCAGTTAAATATGCTTATAAAACTAATACGCATAGTAGGCAAAGTGAGCATAGCGTTTTGTTTAAAGAAGTGTTTCGGTGGAAAGGGCCTGAGAGGATAAGAGGATTTTTGTGGAAATTGGGTCACGAAGGGATGCTTACTAATGCAAGATGGTTCAGATTTGGGTTATCTAATACAAATGTATGTTCTTTTTATGGAGTTTATGAAGATAATCTCTTTCATCAATTCAGAGAGTGTTAACAAATTCAAGTAGGGTGGACCCTTCTCATCCAATGAGGTGTTTATAATGTTTCCTTTGAGGATAATGATTGGTAGAGTTGGCTAGCTTATAATTTATCGAACCACTTTGATGTTTTTGGTATGAGATGAAGTATTATTTTTGGCGTCATGTTGTACATAACATGGTGAAGAATGAATGAATGAGTTTTTAATCAAGTTAAATGGAGTATTACGGAGCTAGTAACAAATGTGATGAGTATGACATATGAGATTAGCAATTCTCAAGAAGTGTTTTTCGCTATTCATTCTCAAGGTTTGTGTACTTTTGGCATATGGGACATAGCTTGGAAATTTCCAAATCCAAAGGAAATGGTGTTGAACATAGATGGGTCGGTCAAAGATCTTGAGGTTGTAGCTTCTGGTGGTAAACTTATTCAAGATGAGAATAAAGCTTTCTTATGCGGTTATGCAATAAAATTAGGAGTTTGTTCAGCTCTTTTAATTGAATTATGGGCCATATATCATGACCTTCATTTGGCTTAGGAGAGAGGCTACCGCAAAATTAAAGTTTGTTCTCACTCTCATAATGTAATTATGTTGCTAATTAAATGTTGTCACACCTATCCTTATGCCAATGTGATAATAACAATCCGTGGGATCTATCAGAATGAAGACACTATCAGGTAGTGTCACATGTTACGAGAGACTAATTAACCAGCTGATTTACTGGTCATTTATGACCTTAATTTATTTTCTGAGTTTCATGACCTTGATTTTATTTATAAAGCCCTAAGGGCAAACCTTAGTGATATCTATTTTCCTCGAAATTTATAGATTTTAATAATATTTTAATTCATAAAAAAGATGTCCATCTACTTAAATACAATTTTTTTTAAAGATTTAGTGGATAAGTTAATTTATAGAAATTCTCTCATTTTAGCTTATAAAACATTTTTTTAATTTTTTTCTAATTTATTTACAAAAGTATTTTATTTTACGAAAATGTTTATTTTATTTTCTTCTTATTTTATTATTTTATAAGTTCCTGTGGAGGAAAATTATTCAAACATATTTAATATAATTCATTATTTTCATTTTCATCAGGCTTTACATTTATGACATTATGAAACAAGTATAGAGATTTATTTTATAATTATCTAATTATAAATTATCGTATATTAAAAGTTTGTTGAAGTTTATAATAAATAAAATTATATTTATCATAATTATTATAATTGTGAAAATTTGGTTTAAATTGATTGGTTTAATCAATTTGATTAGGACTGGTTTAGTTACTAAGAAAAATTGATGATTTCAGAATCAATATGAATTGGTCCCAAACCGATCAGAAAACTCGTACTATTCAAAACAATAATTTTTAGTTTTTAAATATTTTACGACAAATAAAAACACGTATTTAATAAGAATTACAAATTGAAATAAATTATTCTATCAATTATTTTTATTAAATTTCTTATAAAATTATAATTTAGTCATTTATATTAATTTATAATTTTTATATCTTGATATTTTATAATTTTATATTATATTTATCTTACTTTTTACTCTAAATATAAACTTGTTATTGTTAATAACCATTATTATATTTTAATAAATTTTAAAACTAAATAATATATTTGAACTATTATGTGTATTTAAATCTTAAAAAGTTATAAAATGATGTTATAAATCATAAACCACTATCTTATCAATTCAATCATCCATCAAATTTTAAAATATTGATAATGTTTAATTAGTTGTCAGAAAATACTTTATATTAATAGTGCGTAAAATTTAAATTATATAAGACATTCCATTAGAAGAAAGTTATTTGATAATTTCTATTCAAAAAGATTTTCCTTTTAATCGGTTAGCTGTACGAAACTTTAGGGTCTGTTCAAATAAATATTTTATTAACATTTGTAAGAGAAAAAAAGTAAAAAATAGAATCTAAAATATTTGTTCTCATAAAATAAAATTAACTTAAAGAATAAGTTAAAAAAATCAACTTTTGAATAAGTAATAGTTTGATTAGATAAATTTTTTCATGAACATTTTTAGAGAAAAAAAAAGACTAATGAAATATTTTTTTTGTTAAAAAATTAAAATTAACTAATACATATATTAGATACTTCTTTATATTAGCTTTTCTAAATCATGTTTTCTAGTTTATTAATAAGCTAATTTTAACTTATAAAAAAAATATTTTTTTTAGTTTATTCTCTTAAAAAATATTTATAAAGAAATTTATACAAACAAACTTAATAACGATAAAATATTTGTAAATTAACTTTCGTATAAATCAATTTTATTTTATATAATATTTTTTTTACTTTTTTTTTTATATAAGTATATGAATAAACTTCTCCAAATATGTTAGTACTCATTAGTGCACAAACACAAGAAATAATATAAAAAATGGCATAACATCCGAAGCCTTATCTCTTAAATTTGTGGATTTGTAACAGACATAACATCTTTCATTTTCACGCATGCGTTGTAACATTCTACAAGTAGCTTCTTTTTATTTAATGCACGTATTCTAACCATTTTCTACTGTCTTGTGGACTTGTGAATGGGCAATGCATTACACAAAGGTTCAAGATCCACCCAAGAGGAAATGGATACTCTAATGTAAAATTTTCCCTTGAATTCTGTCGAGTGAAATCTTATCACCAAAATCCCATTCCTTCTATTTTTTATTATTTAAATTCCTTCTCTATCACATAAGAGGATCTAAAGTCCAAACCCACCCTATGTACACATTATCATCATCATTTGGTGCTACATGAACTATATCACTCAAATGTTGCACAAGATTATGCTCTTAGCACTCCCAATGGTGAAGGGTAACTGATCCATCCAATTTACATCTCGAGTCCAACATGATTTGAGACTTTTGTGCACAATTGGACCAACATAACCTGAACCATGCCTAGTCTCGGGATCTTGTCGGGCAAGCCTAAATTAAACACAACGACAGTATCCCGTCTCAAAGTTCAAACACTAGCAATACGTACGCTCCAAATCAATGAAGTCACTTGGTCACCACACATTTTGATCATTTTAATACAAATAACATTCAATGTCAGATTGCCGAATGAACACATAAAAGAGGTAAGCAACATTTAGTGCACAACAGCCAATACATTAGTTTTCATTTGAAATGAGATCTACATGACAAATTTACAAAAATGGTTCATCAAACCATTGAGTATTCAATTAGGGAGTGTTTGGCAGAGGGAAAACTTTTTCATGCCTGAAAATCATAGTTCCTAAGAATTATAAATCCAGAAAAATCATAAAGTCAAGAATGTCAGTTTCTCAGCTCTCCCATGGATACAATTTGGTAAGAAACTTGTACCAAAAACACCCCCAGTTCCAAAGAATCTATTTTTCTTTTTTTTTTCCCTTCAGATTTCTAGGAGAGAAAAAACTTTCAGCGTATTAAGTGCCCCTTAGTGCAACACTTTTTGTTTGGGAGACAGGTACTTTTTAGTAGAAGGAAACACTAAACAAAAGCTTCCGTCGATGTTGTTTCTCAAAACCAGCAATAATGTCATCAACTGACTCCTCCCATGATTCTGCAGCTTCAATCTATGCATAAAATATGTTCATAGTAAGGTATGAAACATTAAGATATTTGAAAAAAAGAAAAAAGAAAAAAAGAGTCATCTACTACTCATATCCATAAAAACATATAACATTCTTATAGGGCACTTGAATTTTGCTGCCACATCGTGTTTGTCTCACATTCAAAGCTTCTTATCAAGTCCAAAAAAAATGTAAATATACCATGAATACAAAGAAAATATAGATTGCATGAGAGATAAACCTGCTGACATAGATCTAAAGTAAGCCTGGCTCCCACAGCTGCTTCATCATGGTTATCTTTTACCTCCAAGTTGATTACCAGCACAGTTTTCATTAAAACATGATCTCTAGTATGGAGATCTGCACATTGTTGAAGTTAGATAGCTTTCAAACATACATACGACTACAGAGCCATTGAAATCAATAAATATGATCTTTGTTCGACATATGTCTATACTAAAGTTTCCACATGGTAGATGATTAGATAGATACCACAATAATATCCCTCAAAGGACTCTGAAAATAACTTGATAGCCTCATGAATTTCAATAAATCAATAGCTTTAGCTAAAGCTAGGAAATGTAGTTAAAAGTTAAAAATTACTCCCTTCAATCGCTTATCAAAAAAAAAAAAACTCCCTTCAATCTTGAAGATAAGCAAAAATATCTCATGTATAAGCAAATCTCCGAAAATAAATAAATAATAATAACAACAAAATAAAAACATCATGACTAAAAACAACCAGAGATCAGCAATCAGACATAAAAGATAATCTTATATTCTTATGTGAGTGAAACACAGAAAATCAGTGCATTTCACTGCATTTGCAAATCTGCTGTAAATAAAAACAAGAAGGGAGGAAAAAAATGATATTGCAACTTCCTTGCAAATTTGGGGCTGCAAGCACATGTCTTTCTTGTTCCCCCTTAATGAATGTTTGGATAAGCATTGACTAGGTGTTCTATATTAAAACTCACGTCCAAAACATGAAAGCAACTCTTACTTACTTCAGAATATAGTGTGTCAGAGTCATACAATGCGAAACCAAAACACTGTTAATGAGTTCAAAATCCAGTCCAAAATCATGGCTAAGAAATATTACTTGTAAACTTCCTGTTGAAGCTTGCTTGGATTCAAGTTTAAAAGTGTTTTTGAGAGCTTTTGTTACAAAAAATAAATCTTTATTTACAGTAGATAATCTCTAAAATACACTTCTAGTTTGTAATCGAAATAGGCTCTTAATGCCACTCCATCTTAGCTTAAAAACCAACCATCATAGAGGCCTATCATCCAACATAATGCGAAGCTGATGAAGGCTTGTATTGCTAGCAAAGTTACTAAAATTCAAATTCAAATTTCCTACTACCTTTTTAATATTCAATTACATCAGAAAATTTGACAATTAGAAAACAGAGAGAAACAAATCAGTAAGAATATTAACCTTCAACAACCATATCAAACACTTTTTCTTCAAATGTAAACACCACATCAAACGAGCCATCAGCAGCATTTTCTTGCCATCGCTGAGGTGCCAATTTGACCGAAGAATTTCTTTTAAGCATTGGCAAGATTCCGTTTCGCCGGTAGCTGCACTCTAGTTAAGGTTCTTATCATGATCCACCACACCACACAGAATAAGACAAGAATGCAAGTGCAAAGTAAAAGGATTACCCAACATACAGGTCCTACAACAGAAACAGATAGATATATAGATAACATACAATACTGTATTCATCAACTCGGAATCTTCCTCTTTTTTTTTAGTACAATAGCGGCAATGAGATTTGAACCTATAACCTCATGCAAATTACTCAAACTCCAATTACTATGCTGACCCTAGTGGGTTAACTCAGTAGATTACTCTATTCACTCATAAGAAAACACTATCAAGTAAGATCATAGCAATGCTGCCCCCAATCCCTACTCAAAATTCACACCACTTGTTGGTCATATGACGAAGAATAGTTCCACATTCCATTAAAACTATCCCCACCTAATGTAACAAATGCAAAACAACCAAAGCAAAGAGATATTAAAAAAATTGAACTTTTTTGTTCTGAACCTATTGCCCATATAAAACAAGTTAAATTTCTATCCTATCAGTATACAAAAACTTTACATTATCAATTTGATAGAACCAAAAGGTAAAAAGAGAGAGAGAAAAGTGAAGAACGCTCAAGAAACTGAAGAACTTTTATTGTCTCTGCCCAATTACTGTTACTGAACAACTGAATACACTTCCTGAGGTTAACTTGGGAGTACCTCAGCATCTCTCTACACTTCCTATCAATTTCCCATCCAAGTAACGACTCGCCTCTTCCCATTTACATATAATAAATCATCACCCATTTAACTCACTATCTAACGGACAAAACTCATGTACAGTACCATAGGTACTATTGATATCAGAATTGGGGTTTTATCTCTATCAGAATTGAAGTTTTATCTTGGTAATGTAACATTACATTACCAAACTCTGCATTAAATATAAACATATATTATAGAGACGAAACTCTAATTCTAATTGGATAACAACACTAACTATACCTGATTTTTATCCCTAACTAATTAACTACCCAGGTGTTACCTATCCCAATCGATCAGACATCATGCTAAGTACAACTATTAAGATAATTATAGTGGAAAAACTCACGATACATAACAACATAAAAACCCACTGCACCCATTTAAGTTAAATTCATATAAAAGTTCAAATCGAAGTTTATGAACAAAAAAGATTGAATTTTTTTTATTGGAAGCAACCCCACTTGAGTTTTGGGCAAGGAGAGGAAAAGGGTGGAAGAGGATACAGATCAGGGTTTTTGGTGCGGAGGTCGTCGTGCATGTGCTTGTAGGGGGTTCCGAAGTCGTAGACGTTGGGTTCTCTGAGGGAGGGACCAGGGAGCTTAACGTGGGCACCGGTGCCGTATGAAGACACGTCGAAGCCATGCTTCTTGAGCAGGAAATGAGCCTCCATGCTTCGGTTCTGGTTCGAAGAACACACCATGGCGTAACGAAACTTCATTGTTCTGATTCTCAAACTGATTGCAAGTGAAGAAGACAAGAGAACACGGAACAAAATAAATTAACTTCGGCAATGGAGTACTTTGGTTAGGGCACATGTGATATGATGATTCACTTTGTGTCAATTCTTTTTCCTGAGATGAATACCAAATGAGTTCCTCAAAGTGTATTTATGATCCCAATTTAGTGTCTGATTTTAATAAAAGTAAAATTAATTTTTAAAATATAATATGTCAATTATTTAAATTATTTTATTAAATAAACATTTTTTTTAAATAAAAATGTCCAATACGATAATGGTATTTTATATACACGAAATATATATGTAAAATTACATCTGTAGATGTATCACATAATATGTAACAGAATATAATTTTAATATTTGAAATTGTAACATTATGTCAACTTTTATTTAAAATATTATCATAATTTTATTTTAATAATGTAATTATTACTTAAATTTTTATTTCATATTTAAACCAATTTTTATTTATTAGATATCATAGGAGAGGACAATGATAAAACACTATTCAAAGTAGCAAATCTAGTTTACGATTATGTCATTTGAATTATGTTATCATAGTTTATCTTTAGGATTATGTTATTTGAATTTATTTTCACAACTTATCTTTAGGATTTATCATTTGAATTGTAATCTGAATTTTGTTATCATAACTTATCTTTACAATTTATCTTCTTTTATCAATTTTAGAAAGTTAGTTGAAGGAGATGATAATAGATACAGAGTAGCTTGAGAAAGGGGAATAATTGAAGAAATTTTATTGGTTTGTAATCAAAACTTGTGTTCTAGGAAAGGGAGGTAGTAGATTAATCTGTCAATCTCTATTTTTTATTTGAAATAATTATATCCACCCATTTTTGGGTTTCCATCAGTCTACCTAAAGTTGATTAGAGGCTGTATAGACATTATCTCCCCCCTTATCAAGTTGAACTTGGGCCCTTGATTGGATTGGTTCATCCCTCATGGAAAAGTTTCTCTTACTTTTTTATTTCTTACCAAGTTGTAGTGGTGGTACTTTTCTAGAGTTGTTCCCTTATCATTTTTAGTGGTATACTCAAGCGATTAGCATTTTTCCTTTCCCCTGTCTTAGTTGTTTTCTTAGGGGGTATTTGCCTCCATATTTCTATATTAATCAAATTCATTAGTTCCCCATATCCCTACCAATAGAGTTGGGTTTCAATGCTTTCCCATCGCAAGAGAGCATCTCGGTGGAGATGAATAAATACAAGTTTTCCACATTAAATGAGGATTCTCTAATTTAAAAATTAAAATCCACCAAAAAACAGAAGATAAATACCACAATTTTCAAACTCCAAATTCCCAGATCAATTTCAAATATTAACGTAATAGAGTTGAAAAAAATAGATAAAATTCAGCATACAAACTATTGTCAAACAATTCAAGTCTTCCATAAAAGTTTCGATATTCTATTTGTTTACTCCAATGATAGATAGAATCCAACATAAGAAATGCTAAATTTGACTGGTCTGGTTGATGCTTATTTGGGTTGCATTTATTTTTTCATGATCAATTGTCTACATAAGGACAGTTCTTATGCGTTTGAATTTATTATGTTGGATTCAAACTGCTAACACTAATTGGCGAGTTGTTTTAACCAGTATACAAACTATATTGAAGGAAACATAATGTTTCTAACTGGCATTTTAATTGACCCAATTTAACTTGTCTTCCAATGAAATATTATTCTCAAAGAGTTGATTCGCAAGTTGCGAAAAAAGATGCAGCAAAATTTTGAACAATTTAGTTATGATTTGAACAACAAATTAAGTCTGCCTAGAAAAAGATTCAGAATTTTTTGCGACAAATCGAACAACACATACGTTTTGATGTTGCTACATATGCAAGTTTTAATATGTGAACAAAAGTTTTGAGACACTTAGATTAATGCAGTTTTTCTGTGTTGCAAATATCGGATATACAAAAGCATGCAGATTTAATGCAGCAAGTTCTATGATGCACCGATACGATATGTGTATCGGATACGTGTCGTATCCGATACAATGATATAATTATTTAAAAATATATAAGATACGACACTTGTAAGATACGTGTTATCATATGTATCAATGTTCATATAATATAATAAATGTGTACTTGTAATTTTGATCAAAATTCATATACATTAAATATATAATTGTTATTTTGCAAATCCAAATTAAAAACATACTTATTGTACATTACTAAAAATAAATAAATTATAAATCATTTCATCATAAATTACTTTTTATTATTTACAAATAGAAATAATATTACCAATTTCATTCCTTTCTTAAAATTATCTATATAGAAGACAATTTTCATTTACAATTCATCAATGACCAATATTTCGATATTAAACATGTTTATATATCTTATTTAGTTGTAATGGATATTTTAAAAAAATTTGAATACTTTATCACTACTATCACTAATAAGTATCAATGTAGTATTTGAAAGTATTGAAATTGAATAAATTTTTTATAATATTTTTAAAGGTTAGGATACTTCATTGACACGTATCGGTGAAGTATCTAAGAATATCGTGTTGGATACGTATCGAATACGAATATGTGAAATAAATTGAAATATCGGTGCTTCATAGAACAAGTTACATCTACAAGAGGACACATTAGATACTTTGCGTCATCATTGTCTTGGTGGCTGTCAAGTGAACAAATTACACTATAAGCTTGTTTGGATACAAGTCAGAAATGCTTTTGAAAGCTTATTTACTGAAAATAATGAATAGTTTTTAGAAAAATTCTCAAAAGAATTTCTAAGTTTGTATCCAAACGGACTTTATGTATCCCAAAAAATGACTACAACTACAAGTCCCTGAAAAATTCCAAACTTATAATTCAAATGGAGAATGAAAGGCGATCGTTGTCAATTACATAAACAAATAACAAAAACAGACATCATAGAATGAAATCAACTTTTCCTTCTAAGCCTCTAACATTGGCTAAATGGCAGGGGAGGTGAGTTCACAAGCAAATGGATACGTTGTAGAGTTAGGATAATTAGTTAGGACAGTTATTATAGTTAATTAGTTGGGAATGGTTTTTCTGAAGGGAACAGTCACTATTCCTTGAACATTTTGTCTTTGGATACTAATACTTCAACCCTAAACAAACTAACTATCAAGAAAACAAAAAACAAAAAAACTAAGGCTTAACTAATCTTAATCATATAATCATATATAAATAATTGATTGATTTTACTTGTAAATAATGTTAACCATCTATTTAAGATTAAACAGTTAAAATTAACTTTCTCAAACTCAAACTATAGTATAGCCTACACATTGTTCTGTGTGTATGTTTGTATATGCATGGTTCACGGAAATGCAAAGGAAATACAGATTTCCAGATCAGAATGTGATGATTTAAATAGAGTTATCACCTTGGTTAAATCAATAATTGGCAAATTTTGGCTTAATCTCACCTCATCCATGTCCTAATCACCTATTTTACTAAGATATACACAGCAAGCACTCCTATTAATGTATGGAGATAAAAACAATCACATATACATTATAAAGCAGCAAGTAGAGCTAACCAGGGTCTTTCATGTCAAAAATACCCGGTGAAAATATTTTGTTTCAGGAGCTACCATGCTCAAAATCACTCCAATATATCTTAATGCTTAAGTTCATGGGCATGAGCTGCATTTTGGTTTCAGAGCTAGCTATTGATTGACCATGTTAGCTGCAACTTTTCACTTCACATAAATTCTCAGTCATCGTGCTATTGAATCCCTGAAAAAACAAAACAAAACAATCATGAAGTTTAGCAATAGGCATCTTATAACCTGAAACAGTGCCTGAAAATCCCAATTTTCATTACCTAACTAACTAGAATCCTAACCATGTTGCATTTTCTTCATTTTCTTTTTCAAGGCCTCGTCAAAGTTGCTGCTTGACAGTGAAAGAACCTGGTTCAAAAGTAACTTTACTCCAGATTTTTTCACAATTGCAAACCTAGGTTTAATCCTTTCCTCTAAACTGTATCCAAAATACTGAGGGAACTTAACCAGCTCAGATTTTGGGTAACCTGTGGTCAAAAAGAAATCCCATTTTGGAATCAAATTTTCCGTCAAGCTGAAAGTGTACAAGGCTCCATATCTTGAAATCATGGTCCCAATTTCTTCCAAAGTGTATCCCCTCTCCAAGAAGAACTCTGTTACAGGCTTTAGGTTGGTCTCAATGCTAAGACCAAAATTCTGTGGGCATCTGAATAGAAGAATGCCAACATCAACCCCCAAAGAACGGAAGTAGTTAGCTGTTGGTCGAAGATTGTCCTCTACACTGTAACTCACAATATTGGGGCAGCGAGTTAAAATCTTACCTATACTCTCTTCTGAGAGGCCCAATTCATGGAGAAAATCTATGCTTTCCATCACTTTCTGCCTGCTATAAGTTAGTAGGGCGGGGAAACGATAGATCACCTTCGGCCATTGCTTCTTGTCAACGCCCAAAGATTCTAAGAACTTCATGGTGGGTTTAAGATTCTCAGATAGACTGATTCCACATAATTGAGGCCTTTTAGTGAGGATAGTGGGAATGTTCTCTATTGGCACTCCAAGTTCAAGAAAAAACTCAACCACTGGCTTAACTTTACCCTCCAAGCTATAGTATGCAAAAGATGGGAATCGTCGCGTGATACTCCTAATCTGCTCAATATCCATACCAAGTTCCATGAGATAGACAATATGAGGGCGAAGATTGCCACTGTCCAGGTCTATCTCACTCACCCGAGACACCGCTTTTAGCTTCTTAGAGTCTAACACTGGACTAGAAGGAGGAATTGGTACATCTGATTTATCCTTAATAGGTGGATTTGGATAGTTTTCCACAACATCCACTAGAAAGTCTCCATGCTCTTCAAAAAGAGATTCAAGATACGGGATAAGGGCGTTCCTGATCTCCAGAGTTGTAAGCTCCCTCCCTGCTTATGTCAATGAAACTGTGATTAGCAGGATGCAACATGGAAGAAAGTTACAAAATAGAGTAACTAATTGTTGTGACAGAACCTGCAAGATACCAAGATTTGTGTTTAGAATGAAGCTTTGAGACAAGGTGATCAATAAAAAGATCTGATTTATTGATGGTTCTAGCAGCAACCGCATTGCTCAAACCA